AGAATGGACAGCATAGAGAGGAGTATAAGTGAATTGATGGAGCTGAAAAACGCAACGCGAGAACTTCGTGAAGCATGCACAAGCTTCAACAGCCGAATTGACCAAGCAGAAGAAAGGATATCAGAGGTCGAAGATCAACTGAATGAAATAAAAAGAGAAGGCAAGAACAGAGAAAAAAGCGCAAAAAGGAATGAACAAAATCTTCAAGAAATGTGGGACTATGTGAAAAGACCTAATCTACGTCTGATAGGTGTACCTGAATGTGATGAAGAGAATGAATCCAAGCTGGAAAATACTCTTCAGGATATTATCCAGGAAAACTTCCCCAACCTAGCAAGGCAGACCAATATTCAAATCCAGGAAATACAGAGAACACCACAAAGATATTCCGCAAGAAGAGCAACCCCAAGGCACATAATCGTCAGATTCACCAAGGTTGAAATGAAAGAGAAAATGCTAAGGGCAGCCAGAGAGAAAGGTCGGGTTACCCACAAAGGGAAGCCCATTAGACTCACAGCAGATCTCTCAGCAGAAACCCTACAAGCCAGAAGAGATTGGGGGCCAATATTCAACATCCTTAAAGAAAAGAACTTTCAACCCAGAATCTCCTATCCAGCCAAACTAAGCTTCATAAGCGAAGGAAAAATAAAATCCTTTGTGAACAAGCAAGCGCTCAGAGATTTCATCACCACCAAACCTGCTCTACAAGAACTCCTGAAAGAGGGTCTACACTTATAAAGGAACAACCAGTACCAGGCACTCCAAAAACACACCAAATGGTAAAAGAGCATCGACACAATCAAGAATCTGCATCAACTAACCAACAAAACAGCCAGGTAGCATCAAAATGACAGTATCAAAATCACACATAACAATACTATCCCTAAATGTCAATGGACTAAATGCCCCAATCAAAAGACACAGACTGGCAAACTGGATAAAAAGCCAAAACCCATCAGTGTGCTGTATCCAGGAAACCCATCTTACATGCAAGGATACACAAAGGCTCAAAATAAAGGGATGGAGGAAGATCTACCAAGCAAATGGAGAGCAAAAAAAGGCAGGAGTTGCAATTCTCATCTCTGATAAAATAGACTTTAAAGCAACAAAGATCAAAAGAGACAAAGAAGGACATTACATAATGGTAAAAGGATCACTGCAACAAGAAGAGCTAACGATCCTAAATATATACGCACCCAATACAGGAGCACCCAGATACATAAGGCAAGTTCTCAATGACCTACAAAGAGACTTAGACTCCCACACAATAATAGTGGGAGACTTTAACACCCCACTGTCAATATTAGACAGATCAACCAGACAGAAAATCAACAAGGATATCCAGGACCTGAACTCAGACCTGGAACAAGCAAACCTAATAGACATTTACAGAACTCTCCACCCCAAATCCACAGAATATACATTCTTCTCAGCACCACATCACACCTACTCTAAAATTGACCACATAATTGGCAGTAAATCACTCCTGAGCAAATGCAAAAGAACAGAAATCATAACAAACAGTCTCTCAGACCACAGTGCAATCGAGTTAGAACTCAGAATGCAGAAACTAACTCAGAATCACACAGCTCCATGGAAACTGAACAACTTGCTCTTGAATGTTGACTGGATAAACAATGAAATGAAGGCAGAAATAAAGATGTTCTTAGAAACCAATGAGAACGAAGACACAACATACCAGAATCTCTGGGACACATTTAAAGCAGTCTCTAGAGGAAAATATATAGCAATGAGTGCCCACATGAGAAGAAAGGAGAGATCTAAAATTGACACCCTATCATCAAAATTGAAAGAGCTAGAGGAGCAAGATCAAAAAAACTCAAAACCTAGCAGAAGACAGGAAATATCTAAGATCAGAGCAGAACTGAAGGAAATAGAGACACAAAAAACTCTTCAAAAAATCAATAAATCCAGGAGCTGGTTTTTTGAAAAGATCAACAAAATAGACAGACCACTAGCCAGATTAATAAAAAAGAAAAGAGAGAATAACCAAATTGATGCAATAAAAAACGATAAAGGGGATATCACCACAGATTCCACAGAAATCCAAACCATCATCAGAGATTATTACAAACAACTCTATGCACATAAACTAGTAAACCTGGAAGAAATGGATAAATTCCTGGACACCCGCACCCTCCCAAGCCTAAACCTGGAAGAAGCCGAAACCCTGAATAGACCAATAACATGGTCTGAAGTCGAGGCAGCAATAAAGAGCCTACCACCCAAAAAAAGCCCAGGTCCAGATGGGTTCACAGTGGAATTCTACCAGACATACAAAGAGGAGCTGATACCATTCCTTCTGAAACTATTCCAAACAATCCAAAAAGAGGGAATCCTTCCCAAATCATTTTACGAGACAAACATCATCCTGATACCAAAACCCGGCAGAGACTCAACAAGAAAAGAAAATTTCAGGCCAATATCCATGATGAACATAGATGCAAAAATCTTCAATAAAATACTGGCAAACCGATTGCAACAGCATATCAAAAAGCTCATCCACCATGATCAAGTAGGATTCATCCCGGGGATGCAAGGCTGGTTCAACATACGCAAGTCCATAAACGTAATTCACCACATAAACAGAACCAAAGACAAAAACCACATGATTATCTCAATTGACGCAGAGAAGGCTTTTGACAAAATTCAACAACCCTTTATGCTAAAAACCCTCAATAAACTAGGTATTGATGGAACGTATCTCAAAACAATAAAAGCTATTTACGACAAACCAACAGCCAATATCATACTGAATGGGCAAAAACTGGAAGCATTCCCTTTGAAATCTGGCACTAGACAAGGATGCCCTCTCTCACCACTCCTATTCAATATAGTACTGGAAGTTCTAGCCAGAGCAATCAGGCAAGAAAAAGAAATAAAGGGTATCCAAATTGGAAAGGAGGAAATCAAATTGTCTCTATTTGCAGATGACATGATTGTATATCTGGAAGACCCCATCATCTCAGCCCAAAATCTCCTGAAACTGATAAACAACTTCAGCAAAGTCTCAGGATACAAAATCAACGTGCAAAAATCACAAGCATTCCTGTACACCAGTAATAGACTTCAAGAGAGCCAAATCAAGAACGAACTGCCATTCACAATTGCTACAAAGAGAATAAAATACCTAGGAATACAACTAACAAGGAACGTAAAGGACCTCTTCAAGGAGAACTACAAGCCATTGCTCAATGAAATAAGAGAGGATACAAACAGATGGAGAAACATTCCATGTTCATGGTTAGGAAGAATCAACATTGTGAAAATGGCCATACTGCCCAAAGTAATTTACAGATTCAACGCTATTCCCATCAAGCTACCAATGACCTTCTTCACAGAACTGGAAAAAAACACCTTAAACTTCATATGGAACCAAAAGAGAGCCCGCATAGCCAAGTCAACTCTAAGCAAAAAGAACAAAGCAGGAGGCATCACACTACCGGACTTCAAACTATACTACAAGGCTACAGTAATCAAAACAGCATGGTACTGGTACCGAAACAGAGATATAGACCAATGGAACAGAACAGAGGCCTCACAGGAAAAACAACATACCCACAACCATCTGATCTTCGACAAACCTGACAAAAACAAGCAATGGGGAAAGGACTCCCTGTTTAATAAATGGTGTTGGGAAAACTGGCTAGCCATGTGCAGAAAGCAGAAACAGGACCCCTTCCTGACACCTTACACCAAAATTAACTCCAGATGGATTAAAGACTTAAACATCAGACCTAACACCATAAAAACCTTAGAGGAAAATCTAGGCAAAACCATTCAGGACATAGGTGTAGGCAAGGACTTCATGACCAAAACGCCAAAAGCAATGGCAACAAAAGCCAAAATAGACAAATGGGACCTAATCAAACTCCACAGCTTCTGCACGGCAAAAGAAACAGTCAGTAGAGTGAATCGGCAACCAACAGAATGGGAAAAAATTTTTGCAGCCTACCCATCTGACAAGGGGCTTATATCCAGAATTTACAAGGAACTAAAGCAGATCTACAAGAAAAAAACAAACAAGCCCATTCAAAAATGGGCAAAGGACATGAACAGGTACTTTACAAAAGAAGACATACAGGAGGCCAACAAACATATGAAAAAATGCTCATCATCACTGGTCATCAGAGAAATGCAAATCAAAACCACACTGAGATACCATCTCACACCAGTTAGAATGGCGATCATTAAAAAATCGGGAAACAACAGATGCTGGAGAGGATGTGGAGAAATAGGAACACTTCTACACTGTTGGTGGGAATGTAAATTAGTTCAACCATTGTGGAAGACAGTGTGGGGATTCCTCAAGGACCTAAAAATAGAAATCCCATTTGACCCAGCAATCCCATTACTGGGTATATATCCAAAGGATTATAAATCATTCTACTACAAGGACACGTGCACACGAATGTTCATTGCAGCACTGTTTACAATAGCAAAGACCTGGAACCAACCCAAATGCCCAACGATGATAGACTGGATAGGGAAAATGTGGTACATATACACCATGGAATATTACGCAGCCATCAAAAAGGATGAGTTCACATCCTTTGTAGGGACATGGATGAACCTGGAAACCATCATTCTCAGCAAACTGACACAAGAGCAGAAAATCAAACACCGTATATTCTCACTCATAGGCGGGTGCTGAACAATGAGAACACAAGGACACAGGGAGGGGAGCACTACACACTGGGGTCCATTGGGGGGAAATGGGGGAGGGGTGGGGGGTGGGGAAGTGGGAAGAGATAGCATGGGGAGAAATGACAGATACAGGTGAGGGGACGGAAGGCATCAAACCACACTGCCATGTGTGTACCTATGCAACAATCTTGCATGTTCATCACATGTACTCTGAAACCTAAAATGCAAAAAAAAAAAAAAAAAAAAAAAAGTCTTTTAGGAGAAAACTTCTCCAGCATGATGTGATAATTAATAATTGTTATGGCTGCTTTAAGGAAAAGTAACTTGCTTACCCAGATGGAACTTTTCTTGGTGCTTTAACCGAGCAAACCGTGATTTAAAATGTTCTTCACAATAGGTACACTTAAAAGGTTTATCTTGAGAATGTAGAATCATATGTTCCTCCAAGTGTGGTCTTCGAGTAAAAGACTTCTTACAAATCTAAATTAAAACGTAAATAAAATGTTAAGAGAAACTGAATTAAAAATTATAACATTAAACTTATAATGAGAAGCAAAAACCATATAAATTCAATAAAGATAATTTTCTTCCAACAGAAAACGTAACAAAAAGTAAAACTAACTCTAACTGTGCAGAAAAAAAATACTCTAGAGAAAGTAAGGAATGTTTTCAAATTAGAACTAAAGGTAGCTGAATTTCAACTTTTTACATTTCTAGTGGGGATATAGAATAACCATACTATCTTAATTCTAGTCAGAATTTCTAAATCCATGAAATATATTATTTTTTAGTCATTTCCATGTCAGAATAAAAGATTTTATCAGTGTTGTCAAATATTTGAATAAGAATATGAATAAGAAGCCACAGAAAAATTACTTCAAAATATATCTCTTGTAGTGGTCAGTCTATAAAAATTTGATATTAATCAGATTTTTTAAAAGAGGGGTAGGCTGCTGTAGTAACAGCACCAACCATAATAACACAACCCACACTGTATATGCCAGGCACAATGCTAAGTAATTCATAGATTATTTTTCTTAATTCTTACAATAATCCTGTGAGATAGATGCAGTAGGCATTATTAACAGTTTATAGCTAAGGATGATAAAACTTAGTAAGGGGAAGACACTATCTTATGTAGATTCAAATACTGTAATTAATAACTGACTTCAATTTCCAGAAGCTGAAATCAGAGAAATTGTGTGACTTTTGCTGTATATATAAATTGAATCTTTGGATTAAAGAAGGCAAAAGTAACAGCTAGGGATGCCTTATAAAAGATTCACCTAGGCCAGGTGTGGTGGATTACGCCTGTAATCTTAGCACTTTGGGAGGCCGAGATGGGCAGATCAGTTGAGGTCAGGAGTTTAGGATCAGCCTGGCCAACATGGTGAAACCCATCACTACTAAAAATACAAAAATTAGTTGGGTGTCATAGTGTGCATCTGTAGTCCCAGCTACTCAGTAGGCTGAGGCAAAAGAATCTTGAACCCAGGAGGAAGAAGTTGCAGTGAGCCAAGATCATGCCACTGCACTCCAGCCTGTGTGACAAAACGAGACTGTCTCAAAAAAAATAAAAGATTAATCTAAATACTGAAAAAATACTCAGAGGTACTACAGAATAAAGATGTCCATAAGCACTATGCTACTCCTCCTATTAAGTCTACCCAGGTTAGAGTGACTTGTTTAGCCAACAAAATGTGGTAGAAGTGATTTTCAGAGACTTCTGAGTGTATGCCATAAAGTCTAATAGTTTTTATAAAGGCTCTGGGAACACATACTCACTCTTGGAACTTAGCTGCTATGCTAGAAAGAAGCTCAAGAAGCCTCAAGAAAAGACCAAAGTAGAGAAGAACAGAGGTTCCTGGTAAACAGTCCTTGTTGAGATTCTAGCCAACAACAAACACCAAGTTACCGGTCACGTGAGTGAGCCACTTTCATTTTTTGTTTGCTTGTTTGTTTGTTTGTGATGGAGTCTGGCTCTCTTGCCCAAGCTGGAGTACAGTGGCATGATCTCAGCTCACTGCAACCTCTGCATCCCGAGTTCAAGCAATTCTCTTGCCTCAGCCTCCTGAGTAACTGGGATTTCAGGTATGAACCACTAGGCCCAGCTAATTTTTTTTTTTTTTTTTTTTTTTTTTTTTTTTTTTTTTTTTTTGGTAGAGACAGGGTTTCACCATGTCGGCCAGGCTGGTCTCAAACTCCTGACCTCAGGTGATCCATCCACCTCGGCCTTCCAAAGTGCTGGGATTACAGGTATGAGCCACCACACCTGGCCTTGAGTGAGCCACTTTGGAAGTGTCCCCAGACTAGACCAGACCATGCACTAGCTAAAAACAATTGAGTGAATTCAGTTGACAACAAGTGGAACAGATGAATTAACCTAGCAAATCCCTGCCCCAAATTTGGATTCCTAACACACAAAAGGGTGAGACATATCAAAATAGTTGCTTAAGGCCACTAGGTTTTAGATAGTTTATTATGTTAACAACATATACCCAGAAATGGGGGAGAAAAATCTAACATTTCATACTCTGTGTAACAGTAATGTCATAGTTTATATACATAATCATAAATACGTGCTACGGTGATTACAATGAAAATTAAAACTAAGATTTCCAGTTCTTAGGTCCATCATCTAAAAAGTAATTTATTTAACTTATAGATTTAATTTATAAATTAGATTTATATTTAATTTATTTAATTTGTTAAAAAATATTTTTTTTAGATTTAATTTATAAAAAATTAATTTATAAATTCAGATTTAATTTATAAAAATATTAGGATAGGTTTAATTTATAAAAAAATTTATAGATTTAGATTTAATCTATAAAAAATAAATTTAATTTAATTTATAAAAAATATAAATTAAATTTATATTTAATTTATAAAAAATATTAGAATAATTTTATAATAAAAGGAAGATTCTAAAAGTGAGATAAACTAAGTCACATTACTTTAAAACCTAATTACTTTACTTTCCCAAAAGACATTGCATTTACTTTCAGTTTTCTAAAACAAATTAAAAACTCTTACATCGCATTTCCAACTTTCACTCTTAGTCTTCTTAATGGAAATAAATTCTTGTGCATTTTCAGGATGAAATCTATCAGAGAAAAAGGAAAAGATTATTAGGAAAAGGTTATATTAGTTAAATCAATATTCCATATGAATATGTTAACAGTAATTACCAGGATCAAGTACTGATTCCTTTCATAAAGAGACAAGCAGGCATAGATGACCTCTTAAAGAAAGTAAAACTATCATTTTAATAAACGTATATGTATACCTAAGTTTATGCAGAAATAAATAAAAATATAATCATCTTTTAAATACATTCAGGAACCTAGCTCTTTATAGATCAACTGTAAGTTAATTTACTTGATTTTTTTTTTTAGTCCAGATTTCAGTAAATTTAATTTTTAGAGTTAAATATATAATACTCTACTAAATATTTTTTCTCTCACAAACTGTTATGGATTAAGGACAATGTTGAATATAAGAAATAAATTTCTTGGCTGGGTGTGGTTACTCACATCTATAATCCGAGCACTTTGGGAGGTCAAGGCAGGTGGATTACTTGGAGTTTGAGACCAGCCTGGGCAATATAGTGAAACTCAGTCTCCACAAAAAAATACAAAAATTAGCTAGGCATAGTGGTGGATGCCTATAGTTCCAGCTACTTAGGAGACTGAAATGAGAGGACTGATTGAACCCAGGAGGCAGAGGTTTCAGTGAGCTGAGACTGTAAAACTGCACTTCAGCCTGGGCAACAGAGTGAAACCATGCCTCAAAAAAAAAAAAAAAAAAAAAAAAAGACATTTATTAGAGTACAAAAACCACATATTTCTGAAGACATGCTTGCCAAAACCCAAGAAGGAAAACAGGATCATCAAAATGGTGTATCACAACCTTCTATATTATAGAGTATATTCTTGTTCAAACATCAAAACAGCATCTCAATAGCATGAATAAAAAATATAAACAAATATTTGCTGCTCTCTTCTTAATTAATCTGTAGTCTCTACAAAATGCTAAGCAATGAAAGAATTGGAGACAAGCACTTTATAGATGTTTTTAGCTTTCCACATATTTAAATTAAAAGGCACAATAAAGTATATTATGGAAGCAAGATAATACTTGCCTCTTAACATGCTTGGCTAAAGTCTTCTTGCTTGCATGAAGTTTATTACAATAAGGGCACTTGTGCTCCTTCTTATGAAATTCTGTTTCATTACTGTGCTTCTTTCTGTGAACAGTTAGGTTAGACTTTGTTGAATAGCGTTGGTGACAGATATCACACTCAAAGGGCTTCTCACCTGTGTGAACACGGGTGTGGCTCTCATATTTTCCTATAAAAAAGAAAAATTAAAATTAAATTTAGTACATTTGTTACACTGTGATTGTAATAAAATCGCATGATTTAGCAAACTAAATATACACACTCAAATCCACACACAAAACTAGAAAGTTTACCTAAATTTCTACCTCTAAGCTTACTGTTCAAAGTATATACTTTTCTTCAAAAACTTGAGTCATTAAAAAAAGATTATTCATGATCACATATTTAAAAAATTATGAGTTTGATACATTTTCTGAAAACTGTTGACAAATTCTCTGAACCTTAAATTTTGAAATATATTTTTAAATTTAAAATTAACTTTTTGCAAAAGGTCAATTCATCATTTAAGATTTATTATGTTTAAATTTTATGTATATCTGTGGGTCCATACACCTGGATATGAATACTGGTTCTTTAAATAGAGGACTACGTGACCTTGGACAAGTAACCTTTATATACCTCAAATACTCCTCATCTGAAAAACTAGAGTAATAACAGAATTTACCTAATAGAACTGTTGTAATAATAAACAAATTCAAATAATACACTTACAACAGTGTTGGACACATAAGTTATCGATATTGCCTACTATTATTACTGGGTAATCTGTGCACTGTGAATGTGTACATCTAATAATTTGAATGAGAAATTTCAATGAAATATATTTCGAAGCAAAAGGCAATAAAATAGGGGAAAAAATTAACAACATGAAAGGTAACTCTTAGTTAAAAACTCAGCTTTGCTCTCCCCTATAAAATAAATGTATAAATAAAATTTTCTTTAGGTGAAAATTAATGTGAAAGTATAGCATTTCAGTCATATACTTTTAAAAGGATACATCCTATATATAACATGAAAATTATGAAAAGTCCAAAATACCCCAAGGCCACTGAAGAAAAGATATAATTATGTGTTTACCTAATAAAATAAAATAAATTCACTAATTTAGTAAATATATCAATATGCAACTGATTTTATTAAGCAAGTAATATATTATCTGAAAATTAATTTCATTGCACTTATCACAATAAAAAAAGTGACGAAGGGAAACCAAGGTATTTTCCTCAAGGTAAGGGGAAAAATGTCAATCATAAGCAAAGAAAATAGAAGTATGACGAAAAATCAGGTATCTAGGTGTAGAACACAGTAATGGTCTATGCATATTTTATATGCATATAGGCAGAAAACTCAGTCAATATTTAGGCATCTCCTAAATGAGCTGTGTGATTTTAATCAAGCTCATAAATTAACCTCTCGAGTTACTAATACTTCATGTAGTTGTGAGAAGTAAATATATTGACAAATACACACAACAATACTTAAAACATCCCAGCACAGCCAGGCACAGTGGCTCATGCCTGTAATTTCAGCACTTTGGGAGGCTGAGGCTGGCAGAACACTTGAGGTCATGAGTTTGAGACCAGCCTAGCCAGCATGGCAAAACCCAAACTCTACAAAAAAAAAAAAAAAAAAAAAAAACCCAGCACATAGGAAGCACTAATACATATTAACTGTTATTATTCTTATCACATGTGTTACCAGTCATAATATGGACATGTAGGTATACCTCAAATATAAATATGAATACATCTGATGTATGAATATGTTATAACAAATCAAACTGGGGTTTCAGCTTTCTGATAACACTGTATACACTTGGCTCTTTCCCCTGCCACTGCTAAAATTGCCTAGTATCTCAGTTCCCTCTCTGCTACTGATAGAGTATACCCAACCATTCACACATGTGTATATACACCCTACCACCACCACCTTCCCTGATGTATTCAAAGAATCAGATCAAATAACGGGAAAAGACAGAGATCACTATATGGATGTTAAGGATTCCTTGATTGTGAAAGTTTTCACATTTCAGTGTTAACTTACCTTTTAAATTATGTAAATAATCAGACTTATATTTAAACAAATATAAACAAATCAAAAGTATACAATCTGATTTTTTAATAACTAAACTTGTAAGTGATTTTTGGAACAGGCCCATTCTTAACTGGGGATTGACTGTGCATGTTTAGCAGATTCTCAAGATTGAGAGACAACTTATCAATCCCCTAATGGTTAAATCTCCTCATTTTTATTTCTAATGAAAGTAGTAGCATAATAAAAATCTTAAGGTATGAAATTGTTTTCAGCAAATCATTTACTTGCTATGAAAATGCCTTTGCTGGAAAGATGTTAAATTAACAATTAGCAGCATGTTTCCTATATTTAAAATCAAGAATTTCTTCCATGCATGCAAATAAAAATTAAGTTACTTACAGATGAATACTTAATTCATTGAAATCACAGTTAAATTAAAAATTAAAATCACTTTCACTATTAAGCTTCCATTTCCCTACAGACCAGGAGAAAGATTTAAGCAAGAAAATGAAAAAAAGAAGAAAGTTTGAGAATTTAAACTGAACTAGCCAAAATTAGATAAACCTAATGATTTTTTTAAAAAACCATTTAAAATAAATTCAGCAAAATCAAAAAGACCAGTGATGATACAGAAATTTCAATAAGTTAAATAATTTTTTAGTTATTAATTCAAAGTTTATGCACATAGGCTTTCAACAGCCTGCTATTTCCATGGATTTGAATTTCTGAACAAGAACAGAGACAACTTTTGAGGGAATGCTGGGCCCAGAAGAGCTAGGTAGATCTCTAGAGACCAGTGGGAAAATAAATGTTACTCTTTGATTTTCATGTTTAAATCATTTGGTAGGGTTTTTTTTTTCTTTTTGCTTTTTGCTTTTTTTGGTAGGGAGGGCACTCTTTAGCACAAACAATGAACATTTTCAACTGTTTCTCTACTTTTATAAAGTGTGGCATTCAATAATAATGTATAAATCAAAATGTTCACTTTAAATTTATCAAAGTTTAAATTTAAAAAATAGTATTCCTTCATGGAATATTAAACTACACCTAAGCATTCCTGATTGTCAGCAGAAAAATACATAAGATTTTATAACATAAGAAATTTTATCCATAGCATTTTTTCTGAACTGAATCCCAATATGAATCATGTCTCAAATCAAAAGTCATAAATTAAAGATATTTTCACATGAACAAATTCGACCTTGTACAGGATTTATTCTCATATGGGTCATACAAAATTACCAATGTTAGATTTTGTATGCAGTTTTTACAAAGGGAAATATCAGCAAATGAGTTCATTATATACTTGATATTGCTAAATCTTAAAATGTACCTGGAAATATTCATTCATATGGGATACTCTAAAGAATATGCAATTAAAATAGCCTTAGAGTGTTGTGCCATGTTTATAATCCTTTTCTATTAAGATCCAAATGGAATTTCTGCAGGAGGGACTAGTCACATTTTTTTTAAAAAAGGTATAAAACATGTTCTACCACTAGAAGAGATTGTGAATTTAATCTAAAGAAAGATTTTAGTTGTCTGCGGAAACAATAAAAAAGATGAATTATCAAAATTTTCTGTCTCATCCCATCTGTCATCTCCCTATTTTTGCCTTTTTATCCACTAGGTTTTTGCTATAAGGGGAAAGGTCAAAGGACTCTTATTTGCATGATAATTCGATGAGAAGAGGACAGCCGGTAGCCTAAGGAAAAATATAACTGGAAGAAAGGGTAAAAGATGCAAAATAATGGAATCAAATTAGTAGATTACACATTGTGGAACTAATGGTTCCAGCAGAAGTTCTCAAAGCTTATGCATCTCTCATAAACCCACCCCAAAGAAGCCAAATTAGAAGCTTAAAGAAGCCTAATTGGCTTCTTACAAGGCCAAAATCAAGTCAGATACAACTTACCAACTTAGTTCAAATAAATAAGTGCTTACCGAAATTTATTTGAAATGACATGAGATGTTACAAAGAACAGTAGCGAAGAGTAAGATAAACCTCCAGGCTCACAATCTCAGACACATAAAGAACCAAAAATCTGGGTGCCATTTTAAAATTCTATGAAAGGAATGTGGATGATACAAGAATAATGGGAAGGTGGCCCTCAAACTGCTTTGTGTGTGTTTTTAAAAATAAACTGTAATTCTAATAAAGATGGTAAGAAAGGACACTTAAGACACATGGATCTTCTACACATTCTTTTCATTCTACCAATCACCAGTCCACTTAGTTGGCATTCAATGTATTATAACTCTCTGCTTTACTCTCATTCCACACCCCACTCCCAATGCTACTCATCTTCCAAGTTTAAACTGCATTATCATTCTGGTTCTTCGTTATATGCTCCTTCTTGTCTCCCTGGCTCTTTTCTCATCCCTTTTTCCAATTTCCTTCTCCACACTGAAACCACCATGATCTTTCTAAAATTATTATAGGCCATGGTTTCCATTGTAAAATTCTTTTCAACAGTTCCTATTACCTACTGGATAAAGTCCAGTCTAATTAAATTAGATTGTCCAAAGTATACTCCTCTGCAGAGCATACAAGCCCTTCAAAAATCTGACCACTACTTTCTTGCTCTCCTTCATCTCCTGTTATTTTAACTTTGCCTCCATGACCACCTTGAAACCACTCACACTCAAGCAATTTCCAGAATACAACATACCTCAATGCCTTTGCACATGTTGGTCCTTCTCTCTTGCAAATTGCCCCCTATTCTTTGAGTCTCAGCTCAAATACTGTATGCTCTGAGAAACTTCTCCTGATTTTCTTAGTTTCCTGTATTTATCCTGATAAGATTATCTTAATTGTAATATGATTGTGTTTTTGCATTTATCCATTAAACTCTAACATTCTTGATGACAGAAAATACATCATTTCATATGTGTTTAATAATGTTTGGCAGCTTAGATACAAAATGCCCTCCTCTTAGTAAATCAACACCTGAATCTTGAGCAGTGTTTTCCCAAATTGTCCAGAAAACTCTAGTTTCCTAGGACACTCAAAGAAGTACTTCCAAAGTGTCTTATGGTAAAACAATTTAAGGAAACGCTAGGTTTAGCAAAATCAACAGGTTTCTTTACTAGAGAATCGGGCAGTTAATACAGACTGTGAATTATATAGTTCCTAATCTTACTTGAACACAGAACCCTTCTCTTAAATAGCATGTCACGGGACTAGTGATCAGTAGAACAGTTTGAGATATTCCTGTTGGACCTACAATACCACTTGTGAACTCACCCCTATTCATTCATCTCCAAGTCAAATTAAGACAATAAAGGTAGAATACAGGAGGCATGCACTAAGAGTACAGTCTAACAAGTCTATTAGAAAGATTAATGTTCTCAAGTACTTCCACCCAAAAAGCTGTTCTCACCTGTACACATATCTTCACAGTACCTGTTACAGCTCTACAACGGCATTTTATCCAGTCTAACTTTTAACAACTTACTTGTATACGTATGCTCTTTGAATTGATTGTTACTGAAGAAGTTATTTTATTCATGTTTGCACACAGCCTCACAGTTAGAATATTAGTAATTATTAATTTGATTGTCCACAGTATTCTGATTCAGAGAGAAAATTATTCCAAAAGATATTATAAAAAGCAAAAAGTAGTTACCACTGTTATGTCAGTGTATCATACAGCATATTTTTATAGCAAATGATCACCAATTCCTTATAAAACCAATTTCCACTTACATCAATAACATAGGTAAGTTAACATTGTAAGATATATGGGGATATATTAAACTGTTTGAGTAATTTTACCAGGTCAAATTGCACTAATTGTGTTTTTATCATTATATGTGGTAGAATATTTGAGGATTTCATAACTTCAGTTTACATGAAGCTTAATTGTTGCAATTTAAAATTTCACATTAGAACAGTTCATGTAAGACACTTTCAAAAATTATCTTACCTAGCAAATATTAGACATCTTGAAATTAAATATGTGCTGACATAAAACTTAAAGTGATAGAATACATTTCCTACAAATTCTTTTCTAGTAGAAAAAAAAGATTTATTCATTATTATAAAAACCAAAGCTTCTAGGCCTTTTGGCTAAGGTCACATGTATAATATAACCAGAGTGCTACTAAGACACTTTCTAAAGTCTCTATCTGCAGTATTAAGTTACATTCACTTCAATTTTATCATTCACTATAGTTTAATCTAAAACATCCCCTTTCTAAATAGTGCTAGATACTGGAAAATTGACCACATTTATAACTCATGTATTACCATACACGGGGGAAAGAGTATACAAATTACTAAATCTAATATCGTCTAATTTTCTTTAATGACTTAAAAATAGTACTTATCACTGGAATTAAACTGGCATATAAATCAAAGCTCTACATAATAATTATTGATACTCTGGAGTCTTTCATATCAAATATATGATCTAATGATGTATCACTGGGACATGAAGAAAAGTAAAGGCTAATATACTTAGATTAATTCCTGAATCACAACAAATTTAAAGTAACAGGATAAACACTGTTGAAAACCAAAATATTCTCCCTACCTAAGCAGTCTTTTTATAAGCAGTCTTTTTAAAAGTTACTTTCCAAGCCCAGTTTTTATTTATTTATTTAAAATATCCATGAAAAGTGATTAGAGATAGAAAACAAGTTTGCTTTTCTTACCTATTCGGTCAAATGTTTTATCACATTTAGGACACTGCAATATTTTTTTGTTGCTGTTCTGAATGACCACTGGAGTTAACCCCTCATGAATATTTCCTACAGAATCACCAGCCTCAGGTTCTTCTTCTGCATCATTATGATCTTTTTCACTTTGTTCAATGTCAGAGTATTCATCTGACATCTCCTCCTCTAGCTCATCTTCTTCAGCATTATATTCACTTCCAGGATCCTCAGAATCATTTCTATCTGACTTTTCCTTATCAAAATTTTCTTGATTCAAATTGTCTGACCCATCACCACTTTCCTGTTCATCATCACTGGTGTCATCAAACTTAACAGGGCACTTCCGATTCCTTTTTGATCTTCTTGCAGAGAAACTTCTCTCCAACATTTTTAACCCATGTTTTTTCCCTAATAAAAGGGACCGATGGTTTTTAGCCAAATGATTCTCTAAAGACTTTTTATAACAAAAATGTCTACTACAGAATTTGCACTGATGATTATTTGATAGTCTTCCCGTTAATTCATTTAGTGTTTCTTCTGGTGATGACTTTTCAGTTAGCTCTGACTGAAAAGGGGCAACATTTTCGTTATTTAACAACTTCACTGCATCTATAATGTCCAAAAATTTTGCAGCCTCTAAAACAAGAGGTATTTCATATTTGTACACAAAAAATTCTGATGTGTAAAGAAATTCAAGCAAATGCTGAAAAACTGAATGTGTTACATGATCCAGGGTGACAACATCAGTGCTTGGATTTTTGCTCAAACACGCATGAAAATAACTGCTGCCAACAGCAACGACTACTTTATGTGCACTAAATTCTTTTCCTTCCACTATGATAAGTAAATCACAAAAAGATGGTTGCTTCTGCCTATCATCATTTAAATATTTTAGCAAATTCTTATTATACTGCAAAGAACTCAAAAGCTTTCTCTGATCAGGAGAGGGAGGAAGTTCCTGATAACAGTGAAGAGCTTCAGAAGTTGGTCTTTCTGCAGAATGAGTATAGGTCACTTGGTCACACTCCACTGCAACATTTCCTTCTGAAGAATCTTTATGATAGCCTAGATGGATCTTCTCAAGATTTGAAGTAACCTTTCTCCTTTTCTTCATTGCAGTACAGCAATTTCAGAACAAGAAACTTCATAAGTATCTTAAGAGATTTATAAAGGAAAACTAGATTGTCTTGGATAACAGCTTCTGAAGGGGCGTGCCCAAGGGTTTCATGGTCTGCAAAAGAGTGAGAACCACGTAAAACAACTCCATGGCAAAGCAATGCTAAATCAGCCAAAGGCAATCATCAACTAATTCTTTCCAATTATCACTAAATGATGATAGAGTCACAGCTTACACTCAATCGTGGCAAAGCTTGGGGCGGAGAACAAGTAGGGCCGCGTTTAGAAAAGACAGCCAACAAAAGAATAATTTTAAAGGAACCCAGGCACACCTTCCAGGCCTGATTCACGAACAGGGTGGAAATAATCGGACAGAAAAGGGAGAGATCTTCAAGATCGTCGACGGTGCGGGTTGAGGAGGCTGTAGTGGTTTAGGGGCGCTGGGATGGTGACAATAAGGCCGTCGCGGCCGCGTGATCCCAGTCTCTTCATTAACATGCTTTCCCCGGGCGGGCAAGCCACAGCTCTTCAGGAATAGAGCGCGTCTCTCGGCCAAAGCCACCCGGTGAGAGACGGCCCCAGTAGGGGCGCAGGATAGAAGTGGGGTCAACCAGAGGGACGACTCAAGGAAGCAGAAGAGCTTTCCCAGGCCCTGACGAGGCGGAGAACGCAATTGCAGACAGCGAGCCCGCTACCCTTCCCACCCAGCTTCCCTGGGAAAACGCCCCGCAGATCTATTACCGGGAACCCAGGGCTCCCCCGCTGGCTCCCAGCAGCTGAGCTCCACTCTGGGCGCGCTCGCTCCAGCGCCTACCCACTTCCGGGTTCAGCCCCCCACCTCACCCTCCTCCCCTCCGCTCCTTCCCCTCCCGGAGCCCCGCCGCCTCCGCAGCCACAGAACACGTCAACCGCTCGCGCAGCCTCCAAACCCTCCTGAGAGACCGGCGCGCGGCCCTGCACGAACTAGTGCGCATGTGCGCGCACACAGCTCTACGCATGCTCTGTACATTCCCGTGCTCCCTTGGAGACCCTACCTACGCCCCGAATCCGTTTCTCCGGGTTTTCGCAGTGGCTCGGTAGCCTGTTCTGATCCAAACCTTGAGGCTGTGCGAAGGGAGGGCAAGGGGAGAGGGGAGGATTCACGCAGAGTTTAGAATTAGTTTGCCGAGGTGCAACTGCTCGATGGATTTCATCCTCAATGTTATACTTAATAGTTTGTAATCAACCAAACAGCAACTGCCAGAAGCCAGTCCCAGCTAACATAGTGGCATGCACTAAAGAACCGATGGATATTGATCTCATTTCGTTATTTTTCTGATATAAACTGCCAAATCTAAACGCGATTATTAAAAAAAATTTTTTTAAACCTATCATTGTATGCAGAAAAATGTGTGTGTGTGTGTGTGTCTCTGTGTGTGTGTATATATATGTGTGTGTGTGTGTGTGTGTGTGTGTGTGTGTGCATAAAGCTGGTGGGACAGGAAAGGAAGCCGAACCAAAAAGTAAAGAAAAATCCACAAGGACAATTAATTTTTGGAGCTAGTGCCTGAGATTTTGCATTTCTAAGAGTCCCAGGAGGTGCTGATATCATTGGTCTGAGGACCGTATTATGAAGAGCAATGTCCTAGATGGTGTTATTTTACAGACATAAGGAATATAAGATGAAGGCTGAGACAAAATAGGAGGGGTAGCCTAATTTTCTTCCCCCACCCATTCGTCCCTCCCATACACATATATAGCCTGACATCTGGAAAGACTGCACTGGATGGAAGAACTTCTGCAGAGGTGGGAAGAGTTATTCCACCTCTTTTGAACTGGCTGGGTGGTGGTGAATTCTCTCAGCATTTGTTTGTCTGAAAAAAGACTGTATCTTTCCTTCAGTTATGAAGCTTAGTTTTGCTGGATACAAAATTCTTGGCTCATAATTATTTTGTTTAAGGAGGGTAAAGATAGGGCCCCAATCCCTTGTAGCTTGTAGGGTTTCTGCTGAGAAATCTATCTGCTGTTATTCTGTTAGATTTTCCTTCACGGGTTACCTGATGCTTTTGCCTCACGGCTCTTAAGATTTTTTCCTTCCTCTTGTCTTTAGATAAACTGATGACTGTGTACCTAGGCAATGATCTTTATGCAATAAATTTTCCAGGTGTTCTTTGAGCTTCTTGTATTTGCATATGTCTATGTCTCTAGCAAGACTGGGGGAGTTTTTCTCGATTAGTACTTTACATGTGTTTTCCAAACTTCAGATTTCTCTTATTCCTCGAGAACATAGATTTTCCTAGGTTTGGTCATTTAACATAATCCCAAACTTCTTGGAGTTTATCTTCTTTTTTAAAATTATTTTTTCTTTGTCTGGTTAGATTGAGTTAATTCAAAAGCCTTGTCTTTGAGCTCTGAATTTCTTTCTTCTACTTGTTTAATTCTATTGCTGAGACTTTCCAGTGTATTTTGCATTACTCTGAGTATGCCCTTCATTTCCAGAGGTTGTGATTGTTTTTTATTTATGCTATTTCAGTGAAGATTTTTTCCTTCATATCTTGTATCTTCTTTTTTGTATTTCATTAAATTGGACTTCACGTTTCTCTGGTACCTCCTTGATTAATTAAAAATAAACTTTCTGAATTCTTTTTCTATCAATTCAGAGTTTTCTTCTTGGTTTGGATACACTGATGGATCTTTTGGTGGTGTTCAAGCACCTTGTTTTGTCATATTACCAGAATTATTTTTCTGGTTCCTTCTCTTTTTGGTAGACTATGTCAGAGAGAAGATCTGGGGCTCAAGGGCTGTTGTTCAGATTCCTCTATCCCATGGGATGCACCCTTAATGTGATGCTTTCCCCCTTCCTCTAGGATGTGGTTTCTGGAGAGCCAAACCACAGTGGTTTTTATTTTTCTTCTGGGTATAACCACCCAGTGAAGCTACCAGGCCTCAGGCTGGTACTGAGAAGTGTCCGCACAGAGTTCTGTGATGTGAACTGTGTTCAGGTTTCTCTGCTGTAGATACCAGCACCTGCTTTGGTGTAGGTAGCAGGGGAGTAAAGTGGACTCTGTGAAGGTCCTTGGTTGTATTCTTGTTAAATGTGCTGGTTTTTGGTTGGTTGGCCTCTAGCCAGGAGGTGATGCTTTCAATACCGCATCACCTGCAGTTATATAGGAAGGATACAAGTTTCCCCTAGGCTCAGGCATTAGGCAGGGCATAGAGCTCTCAAGGAGTTACATCCTTTCTCCTTGGCTACCGAGGCAGGTAGAGAAAGACCATCAGGTGTAGGCAGAGTTAGGTGTGTCTGAGATCGGACTCTCTTTGGGCAGGGATTGCTGTGGCTGCTGTGGAGATGGGGGTGTGGTTCTCATGCCAATGGAGTTATGTTCTTGGGGGATTATGACGTCTCTGCTACATGTAGGTAACCAAGAAAGTCAGGGAAAGCCAGAACTTAGAGACCTTGCCCAGCTGCCATGCAGCCCAAAAGGCCAGACTCACCTCCACCATGCCCTGCCAATAGCACCAAGTTTATTTCCAGACGGCATGTGAGCAGGGCTGAGAACTTGCCCCAGGCTACCAGCCTCCCACCAGAGAAAGCAAGCAGGGATTTCGGGTTTCATGCCTTCCCATGTGCCTCAGCTTCTGTGCTGTGTCTGCACTCCTGATTTGCTCCCTCTCCCAGGTTCTGTCTAGAAACTTTGCATCTGATCAAAATTGTTCAGCTGGAAGTTTCCTTCTCCCTGTTGTTTGTTTTTGTTTTTGTTTTGTTTTGTTTTGATGGAGTCTTGCACTGTCACCCAGGCTGGAGTGCAGTGGTGGTGATCTTGGCTCACCGCAACCTCCACCTCCCAGGCTCAAACAGTTCTCCCACCTCAGCCTCCCGAGTAGCTGAGACTGCAGGTGAGCACCACCACACCTGGCTAATTTTTGTGTTTTTAATAGGGATGGAGTTTCACCATGTTCTCCAGGCTGGTCTTGAACCCCTTACCTCGGGTGATCTGCCCGCCTCGGCCTCCCAAAGTGCTGGGATTACAGGCATGAGCACCACACCAGGCCTCTCCTGTGGTCTTTTCCCAGTTCCTCTGGCAGCCCTTTCCAAAAACCCATGTGAGACAAAAATCAGAAACGGCTTCCGTGGGGGCCAAGAGTACGCATAGGGCTTTTTTTGCTGCTTCTTCTACTCTCGTATTTTGCCCAGCTCTCCAAATTTGTCTCAGCTCCAGGTGAGTTCAAATCCTTCTGTGATCTGGACCTTCAAATTCCCCAGTGAGGGTATGTGTTTGGAGGTGGATGATCCCGCTTTTATACGTTCACACTTTGGGCACTCACAGTTTTTCCAGTGTCTCACAGGGCCTGCAGCAGCTATCTGCTTCCTTTAAAGGGTCTGTGGGTTCTCTCGGCTTTCCTGGTATGTTCCTATGGTAGTTCTTGGAGCAAGAGTTCACAGTGTGAGTCTCCACACTGCTCTGTCCATCCAAATGGGAGCTGCAAGTTAGTCCTGCCCCTTTTCACCATTTTTTCCCTACGGAGAAATTATTAGTTAATTAAGTTGTAGGATGTAACATTGAAATACAAAATAATATAGTATTTGCCTATACCAGCTGTGATGGTTCCTTTTATTTGTCAACTTGGCTAGGCTGCGGTGCACAATTATTTGGTCAAACACCATGAGGATATTGCTGTGGAAGGGTGTTTTATATGTGATTAACAGGCAAATAAGACTTTAAGAAAATTACCCTCCATAATGTGGTAGAGCTCATCGAATCAGTTGAAGGTTTTAAGAGCAAAGACAGTTTCCATAAAGAAAAAGCAGTTCTCCAGGACTTCAAGGTAGAAACCCTACCTGCGTTTTCAGCTTGCTCTCCTGCAGAATTCAGTCTCAAGACTGGAACATTAACTCTAATAGGATTTCCCATTTGTGGACCTGTCCTGTGGCTTTCAGACTGGCCAACCCCCACAATCCTGTGAGCCAATTCCTTCCAATCAATCAAACAATCACTCAGTCTACCTATCTGTCCTATTGCTTCTGCTTCTCTGTAAAACCATGACTAATCCACCAGCAATGAAAATTTAAAAAATAAAACTTGAAAA